AAGTGTGATTGGCTGTGGGGGAGCTCTTTATCGGTAGTGAAAGCTGTAAAACAAACAAAAATAAAAATGTATGCCCTGCTTCACATGTTCCAAACCCATTCAATGGGCCACACTGGAGTCTCTGCCCGGCCGATTTTGGGCCCCAGGCCTTATGTTTGACACCGCTGCTTTAGACCTTTTTGCCCACAGAATAATTTCACCCCATAAAAGCTCTGCTCAGTGAGACATTTGCAGGTGTTAAAGGAATGCATGAATATAATAATAACATTTTATCTGATATAAAACATGAGTAGTGATGTTTATCAACATTACTGCACTTTCAAATGTTCGAACAGCGTCTTACAAAAGAAGTCAGACCAGTTTGGGCCAGTATACCCACTCTCTGAAACAGAGTGGTTCCATATCTGCTGCGTCTACATGTAGATCAAACTAACTGGGACACGAGTCTTTAAATGCTGCCACATTTAGCACGGGCATTTAAAACATTCACAATGATCATCCTGTTGAATTTAATCAAATTTTCCTGCACAATAACAAAACTTTGCTGTTAATGTGAGTTTGAAACTCTAAAGAAACATTTCCTATGTCAACCAACAGAATTAAAATTAAAAGATGGTGAAGTTATTATTTAAAAGTGATCACATTTAAATGTTAGCAACATTCTTCATGTGCAGGGTCTCACTGGTGAGAGAGGAGAGCCAGGACCTCCAGGAGAAGCTGGGCCGATGGTAAGATCTAGAGGGAGTTAGCTGATGCTTATAGGATGCTAAACTTTCAAATGTAGGGGTCTGTTTGATGTCAGGAGATCATCAGATTATTCCAAAACACTCGATGAGAAAGCTGTGATAAGTTAAAAGCAGTTAAACAAGGCAAGCAAAAGTATTTCAAAATGTAACAAAATATCTTGAATGTGTTTATATGATATTATTTCTTCTCCTAATTGAACAGTAGTGCAGAGACGAGCTTGCTTGTGGATTTCTTCCACCTTCTGTACCATTTCCAGGAACCTGTTGTTCCATATTGCCTCACAGAGTTTTTCATCCTCCTAGGGGGAGCCTGGACCGCCGGGCCGTGTTGGACTGGTTGGCGCGCTGGGACCGAAGGTCAGTGCAGACTCAAGTCCGCTTCACGTTGCAAACATTGCACTCTGATTGTCAACATCTCGTGCCAACACTATAGAGAATATTTCTGTTACAATTAACACGTGTGCTGCTGTTAACAGCTGCCAGTGTTTCTGTGAGCTGTCTGAACAGTTTGATTTGATTTGACCACAGTGGCATTTGTGGTCCAGCATCTGTCTGCAGCTTCATCACA